TCTGACAAAGTCACCTAAACAAAGTCAATCTATAGCTTAATGTTCACTGATTTCAATATGGAGAGGACAATGAGAAAGTTGAAAAATATATTGGAAAATATCATTCTCCATTAAAAGATGAATAATGAGAGACTCGGAAGCCCCAAATAGCAAACACACAGTGTGTGTAATAAGAGACTGTGTGTGTAATAAATATGGATATATATATATATATATATATATATATAATTTCTTTTTAAAAATTATAATTTTTAAAAACTTGGTCAGCACTGAAGACCATAAATATTGAATATATACATAAGGATGGGAAATAATGGATTACTGATATTGGACTCTTTTTTGAGGCTACTCTCTGTGTTAAGTGAAACTATGAACTAGTTAGAATAAAGGTCAAGGTAAATATCAGTTTAGAAAAAAGAAAAAATGAATTAATGAATTTGAAAGGTCTGTCAATTTCATCTTACCTCCTGTGCTTTTCAATCCTGTGACATTGACCTCCTTGCTATTCTTTACATGAGAAACTCTGTGTCCTGACTCTAAACATTTTCACTGACTTGCCCCCTCTTGCCTGGAATGCTTTCCCTCCTCATCTCTGCCTCTTGGTTTCCCTAGCTTCCTTCAAGACCCAGCTTAAGTCTCAACTTCTAGAGAGAACATTTTCAAATCTCTAGTGCTTTCCCTCTGTGGATTGTTTCCTATATATCATGTATGTAGTTTGTTTGCAGCTAATTGTTTGCTTGTCTTCTACCTCATTCAGTTGTGAGCTCCTGGAGTCCTGGACTGTTTTTTGCCTTTCTTTGTATCCCCAGGCTTTGAACAATTTTTGACATGTAGTAGGTACTTAATAAATATTTGCTGTATGACTGACTTATTGAATGAAACATTTGTTAAGTACTTAATATGTGCAAAGCATAGTGCTAAGCTCTAGGAATACAAATAAAAAAGGAAGATAGTCCTTACTCTTAAGGAGTTCACATTTGAATGTGGCAGATAACATATATGGAAGGTTTCAGCTGTAATCCAAGTAGAAAGATATTATGGTCCTTAACAGTGGTAAAGAAGATGGTAATGCGTCTTCTTTAATGTCATTTCAGCTGACAAAATCCTATCAGTTTCTAATGCTGAACCATTTGACAGTGCCAAAGATATTGATGTCATTACTTTATTTTCTAAGTCTTTAATAAAAGTGGCTGTAGCATCTACAAAATCTGTATCTCCACAAAAGTTATTTCCAAGGAGGATGGCTATGTGCATTGGACTAGAATCATTAATATTCCAAAAGAACTTATGTTCATCTTCCTGGTCTATTTCCATCAGGGTTTTTGGGAAGATGGTGGTTGAAGTGGTAGATGTGGGGGTTTGACTTGCCTGGCACATGCTGTCCCCTGACTTTCCCTTTGGGAGCTCTTCTCCTTCAACTAGGCATGCTTTTCTGTCCTGTATGTGACAGCTGGTTGACAGCTGGTGGGAGTGACAGGCCCCCCTCTCTATAGGAATTGCTTCTCTAGACATTGGCAATGAGAGCTGGCTTGAAAGTAGAACTGATAATGAGGGAGGTTCTGCCACTTCCAGGGCTCCTTTGGCCATCTGTCTGTTGGTGGCAGTAGATCAGCATTTGTTGCTGGTAGTGATGAGAAAGGTGGGCCCCTTCTCCACAATGATTTCTCTCCTCAATGATAGCAGCATGTGCTGAGTCACAGAAGCAGGTCTGGTGGTTTGGAGGACATTCCTATTTCCTTAGTCCTGGAGCTCACAATCCTTGGCCGTTTCCATCATGATCTGAGGGAAGACAATGGACGAGGTAGTGGTGTTGGTTTAATCCATCTGGTACATGCAGATTCCCATGTCAGCTTCAGGGTACCTTGTAGTTTATTCAAGCCTGGCCTGCCTTCCCCATGAGGGATTCTAATAAAATTCTGTGTGCAATTACAGTAACTTCAACTTTACTGATGTAAATAGGCTACTGTCCCTGAAAAGATGTGAACTGCATAAATGTTTAATGACTCTGCTTGTCATCATTTCTTTGAGAAATTCAACTGACACAAAATAGTCATCACAACAGGAAGGTCAAGAGTATACCTCACAAATACTTGATCTTGCTATCAAGCAAAAAAAAAAAAGAAAGACAAGGGCAACCGTGGTTTGGGGGACAAGCTCATTTAGAGAATATTGTCAAGTGCAGCAGATAACATGTAGAATCACTCCAACAATGAAAATACTGGAGACAATGAACCAGCAGAGGAGCTTGGTTTAATATCCCACCTAAGGCAGTTCATTTGAAAATCTGAAGATGAAATTGGAAGGAAATAGAGGACATGGGATAGAATCACAAAGGATGAGGTGTATAGATAGATCTTAATCAGCATTAATGAAATATATCATTGTCAATAAGATCACAGATGCACCAAAGTACTAAAGATCCTAAATAACACTGTATAGGAGACACTTTGCCCTGACTTAAAGCCAGACCTATTAAGGGGGCTTCTTTAAAAAAGTGTAATAGTTGATGGAGGGAGTAAGTGTTGAACCATAAGTATAAAATCTAGATTTTAAAAGAGAATTTGAGAACAATCTTAATCCAAAGGCCAGAACAATATATTAATTTTTTAACATTTTTATGTGTTATTTCTCGTTAAAATGAGTTGTTGAAAGCCCATCATAACCTCCTCCCTTCCCACTTTTCCAATCTTCTTTCACCTTCTTTCACATTCTGTACCTCAGCAACACTGGCCTCCATCTCCCAACTATGTGAAATTCTATGGACTGTCCCCATACCTGGAATGCTCACCTTCCTTATCTCTGCCTCCTGGCTTCTTTCAAGTCCTAAATAAAAGCCCACCTTCTATAGGAAGCCTTTTCTAATCCCTTTTAATTCTAGTGCCTTCTCTTTGTTATTTCCCATTTATCCTGTACATAGTCATTTGCTTATTGTTGTTTACCCCAATAAACTAGAAATTTTATTTTTACCTTTTTTTGTATCCCCAGAACATAGTAGGCATTTAACATTGTTTTATTGATTGATTGGTTAGGCACTGAAAATAGAAATCTGGGGAGAATGGCCGATTTTGTACTTTCAAGGAACTTATACTCTCATAGAGCGTCGGTGCATCTGTGTACCAGCTCTAAGTTATACAAATGAACTTTACCAAGGCACATGGGAGGGATCAACAATTTTTTTTCAAAATTTTTTTTTATTAGTTTTCAACATTCACTTTTATAAGATTTTGAGTTTTAGATTTCCCTTCCCCTCCCCCTCCACAAGAGGGCATGCAATCTAATATAGTCTATACATGTACAATCTTATTAAACATATTTCCCCATTAGTCATTTTGTGAAAGAAGAATCAGAACAAAAGGGAAAAACCACAAGAAAGAAAAAAACCCAAACAAAAAAAGAAAATAGTGTGCTTTGGAGATCAAATATTTTAAAAGAGATTAGAAAAGAGACTTTATGTGGAGGCAAAGGCATAGTGAAAAGCGAGAGATATCAGGGAGGATGAAGTCAGTGAAGCCAACCAAAACAGAAATTGTGGTCTTTTAAGCCTGAGATGATGAGAGACTGGACTAAAGTGGCAGCTGTGAGAATGGCCTAGAAGAGTTAAAATATGAACAGTATTTCAGAAGAACAATCTAAAAGGCTTAGCAACTGATCAGGGGTAGGAAATGAAAAAGAAGAATGAACCAAAGATTACTATGTGAGAGAATGTAACATTTCAAAGATGAGAAAGCTGGGAGTAGAAACTGGTTTGGAGATAGATTGATAATGATGGAATGTTATACATGGTTGGTTTATTGAGGGAAAAAAAAATAGGATGTTGTAGATGTCACTAAAATGCAGATACTACCTAAGTGTGTGATTTGAGTTGTAATGTCACTAATAAATACTTTCCAGGTTACTATTTTTGGTCATAATAATGATTTCAGGTTTGAGGACTACCAACAATTGTTGCTTTAGGGAAAATATTTCTCATGTAAGAATATAGCCTTTATTTTACATGTTCATGCGGTGTGTCCCTATATCAGTCTGTGAAATGAAGACTGATATACCACTCTATTCTGTGTCATTTATTAATTATTGATTGAGAAGTGTATTTAATCATTGGAATCAGTACTTAGGAATTAGTTTGATTTAAAAGGCAGTTTGACTTCTTAACATTAGAGTCTATGAGGAAATTTGATTTATTAATTAAATAAATTAATTTATTATTAAATTAATTAAATTAAACTCTTATAAGAATTTAACTTTCCTATCTGGGCTGATAGCCTTGATTCAATCTATCTTAACATGGAATGAAGGAGGGAGGATAATCTTTGTGTTCATAAGATGTTCTGCCTGCTTACAAGAGTAGCATGGGACCACTCTGACTTAGGGAGTTGCCTAAAATAAGACTATACAGATGATGTTGGCTAACTCATTGCCTTGGACTGTGGAAACCCCCTTTTGCAAGTCAGCATGATTATGCCAAATGTAAACCCACCCTATGTGTTTACCCTACTTCTACTATAGACCAATCCCAATTCTAGTTTAGCATCATTGAACCATATGTAATCAACTGCATAAAAGACTGTTCTGTCTGCATTAAAACAACTTGGCCACTGATGTTTTGGGATTTCAGTTTATTGGCAACTGCTAGTCTTGTTAATAAAATGATCATGCTTGAAATTTTGTTTCTCAGTTGCTCTTCATTGCAGATTTTTTTCATGACAAGGGGTTTATCTAATGACAACAAGTGAATGGTATTTATGATCATAGAGAAAATTTCAGCATGTTCTTAAAATATTTCTGTGGGGCCACAAGGAAGAAAATATAATTGGAGGCAAAGGCAATCATTTTTCTCCTCCATGGTTGGAAGTATGTATTCCTGATGCCCTCCCAGCTCCTAGACTTTTGAGTAATATTTACAACCAAAAGTCAAATATTTGTATGTGACAGCTAAACTGAATTAAAATGAACATTTTAAATTCCTGATTCATATAATAAGTTAATGTTTTGTTCATCAGGTAACAGAAACACGAACTGGTCCTCTTGGCTGCAGTAACTATGACAACCTAGATTCAGTCAGTTCGGTTCTGGTTCAAAGTCCTGAGAATAAGATTCAGTTACAAGGTATGTAGATGCACTTTCATTAATTGTATATGAAACAGAATGGCATTTATTAAGTGAAATTTCTTTTTTTTAAGGTAATGTGTAACATATTAGACTTTTAAAACTCTCAGTTAAAAGGTCAATTTCCAATTTTTTTCTGATAAATTCTTGAGGACTTTAAGAAAATGTCAGATATTCGCTTTCATAATAGGTAAAACACCTACATACATGAACACACACACATACACACACTCTAGCAATGTGAAGTGAGTTATCCTCTTAACATTTTCAGTACAAAAACCTTTATCTTCACCAATTACTGTGTATTTCTATTTCTCTATGAAACTTTTCTCCTTTCAAAGTTTTAAACATATACATACATACTATAACGAGATAATGTGTTTATATTGTAAATTTAATACCATTGCTCATGGCCTCATTTATCTTCTGCTAAAGTGATCCTATATTTCTTGAAATACCAATTGATATTGTAAATTCAGAGTATCTCTTTCCTTTTTATTATGTTAATGGAAGTGACTTGAGATGTTTCTAGGGTCTACCCTTTTCATTGTATTAGGTAAGTCAATTGAATAAGCTGTCCATCAAACTGGTGACAGTCAAAAGTTATGAACATGTATTTGCATGTCTATGTATCATTACTTACATGTAATCAAACAATGGCTCATAACCCAACGTAGATATACAGTATGTAAACAATGGGCCATTAGTGCCATAAAATATCTGGCTATATTGGATTCATTGATTGGGGGATTATCTTTCGGGTGAGGTTGAGGAGAAAGGAGAAAGAGACAGAGAAGAAAAGATTGCCTTGTTTTGCCCCATTATTTCAGCTATATGGGGCTAAATTAGCTGTTTATTCACATTTTATGCAGAAGTTTCTAGGATAACAATTCAGTTTGACTTAATGAAATTTGTCTCATTTTCAAATTCAAGGAATTTGGTAACATATCAATTTATTTAAATGATACCTAAATAACAAAATTTAAGTGTTCAGACAAATAAAGAAAAATAACCAAGTAGGCATTTAAAAAAACATTTTAACACTTGAAGAAGTGAACATTAGAAATAATTTTTGTTATCCATTTTGTCATTATCATTTTTGATATAAAATTTTTGAAAAATTTTCCCATGAATTTATAATTTATATATATATAATTGTAATTTTATGCATATGTAATGTACATTATATTATATGATATGTATTACATTATAATACATTGCATAAAATGTAATTTATATATATATACATACACATGCACACACATACACACACATATATATGAACATACTGACTAAACCACATATCAACTTACTTATTGCCCCTTTCAAACAATATATATTTTTTAGAAAATGATAAAGCATAGTAAAGGATGAACAATATTCAAACCTTAATGTCTGTTTACATGAATGCAATGGTTGAAATGTATTAATAAGAAATCTAGGCTAGGTGTTAAGGAGTGTTGAGAGACAGAAAGAGCAGAGAGACAGAGGGGAGGGGAGCAAGGGTGGGAGACAAAGAGAGGGAGAATGAGACAGAGAGAAAGAGAGAGAGAGAGAGAGGGAGAGAGAGAATTGAGAATACCTGCACTTTACCCACATGGAATATAATCCTGACAGAAAATAAACAAATATCATATTTATATAACATTAAAACAAAAAGTGCTTCTTAATAAAATCTGAATGTTTTAGTAATGATAAAATATAAAATAGCCACTTTCAATTGAGGTCAGTCCTCAGGAGTGTAGTTATTATGAAAAGCACAAAGATGTTTTTTTTTCCTAAAGCGTGATTTTTTTTTAATCAACAGCACAGATAATATGACCAATATAAGCATAGTAGTTATTTCTTTGTGACTAAAGAACATATCAAATGATACATTTTAGTAGCGAAATGCAATAGGTAATTGGACTCATTTTCTATTATTTTTGTTTCCTGTTTTCCTTCTGTTTGTCATATTGTGTATTTGGATCTCTATGTTATAGTTTCAAATATTGACACAAAATGAGAATGGCCAAATTGCAATTTTCCCCTGTGCTTTCTGATAGCACAGTTCTAAGAAATCTTAACGTTTATTGAATTTTTCCTAACAATGGAAACTTTATAGCCCTTTTTTCATTCTTTGACAGTCTACCTAAAAGAAATTCACTTTATTAAACTTTTCATCTGAAAAACTCACAAGGAAAATGACCAAGGTTGTTCCCATACATGACAAGGAAATGAACTGGAACATGGCTAAATCAGTCTGTGTGGTTCCCTGTGGCCAGTTTTAATGATCAATAAAGTTGACCTGTAGGATTTTCAGTTATGTAGTATGTTTCTAGCAAATAGATATTAGAAGTGATATGTTTCTTCCAATGCTAATTTTAACTTCTTATCATATATATTGTAGACCTATGTATGTAAAGATGCTTTTTTAAGAAAATGAAAGTGTTCGATCTGAGATCAGTCATAAGTTTAACTTTAACATCAAGCATAACTTTATAACAGATTTTTTTCCTTGGTCCCAAACAGATCTTAGCATTCTTCCCAAACATCCTTTTTTTGAACTTCCTTATTACTGTTGAGGATACCATCATAGTGTCAGTCAACCAGGTTCACAACCTTGTTATAATTTTCAACTTCTGATTTCTATTTACCTTACCTATCCCATCAGTTGCCAAAATTTATTCTTTGTTTTATGATGTTGTTTGTATATATCTCCATCTTTCCAATGACATAGCCAACACCCTTGTTCAGACCCTCATCCCTTCATGCCTGAACTATTGCAGGTAGCCTAGTTGGTCTCCCTGCCTCAAGTCTCTCCTCATTCCATTCCGTTGGAATGACAATTGACAATACTGTCAAATACAGCTGCCAAAGTGATTTCCCTAACTTGTAGATCTGACCATATCACCCCTAGACTCAAACTCCTGTTAATCCTTTTACCAACATGATCAAATATAAAATCCTTTGTCATTTAAAACTCTTCACAACTCCAATCCTTCATACCTTTCCAGTATTTTTTTCACATTCTGCTGTTTTCTTTGCCCTTTGTGTTCCAGCTATCTTTAGCACAAAACACTCCAACTTCCATGCCTTTGTAAGAGCTGTTACCATACTTAGAATGCTATTCCTTCCAAACCTATTTCTTAGAATCAATGGTTTCTTTTAAGATTGCATTCAAATATACCACTTCCAGGGTGCCTGCCCTTCCCTATCACCCTCCCCCACTGCCCAAGGTTATCCTCCATCTATTCTGTATCTAGTGTGTTCAGATATATAGAGATATATACTTATACACACATACGTAGGTTCATATCTCTACACATATACGTGCAAAAGTATATATCTATATCTAATCCTCCCCATTAGAATTTCATAATTACTAGAATTAAGTTACTTGAGGATAGGGGTTATTTTGGATTTTTATTTTATTACCAGTGTTTAGCATTAACATATAGTAATAAATGCTTTTTGATTGATTGAAAGTTGACATGTTCTATCCTCAGGTTTTATAAAATTACTAAAACGATTTATGTGATGAAGTAATAATTCTATAATTACTCCATTACTTTCAGATATGATAACTGTTTATTATCAAATAAGAATCATATCAAAAGCCTTCAGAAGCTCCTGATTATCTCTAGAATAAAATAAACTCTCCTCATTTTGACATTGAAGACCTTCGAAAATTTGAATCTATCAAAGTTTCTAGATTTATTTCTCATTAATACCTAAGACTATACATTCTAACTAGACTAGACTTAAGAACCATTCCCTGTACCTACCATTTCATTTCTCACCTTTGAGCCTTTGCATAGGCTGTCCCACATGCCTGGAATGTAGTCAGTCCTCAGACTCCCTTCTTATGCCTAGTTTGCTTCAAGGATGGCCTCAGGTACCAACTCGTACACAGAGCCTTTCCTGGTCTCCTCATTTCTTAGTGATTTCTTCCTTCTCAATTTATCATGCAATTACTTACCCAGGTACAAATTATGTGGCTTTAGTAGAATATAAGCTCCTAAAAGGCAGGAAACATTTTGTTTGTATTCCTAGTGCCCAGCACATAATAAGTGCTTAATAAATATTTTAAATTTTATTTAATGGAATTTTTTATAAGTTTTAAAAATTATTATTATTTTTATTTTCTTTTTTTAACAAAGGGCTTCAAGTCATCCTTCCAGACTACCTACAGGAGCGTTTTGTGCAGGCAGCTCTGAGCTATATTGCCTGTAATTCAGAGGGAGAGTTTATTTGTAAAGACAACGATTGCTGGTGTCAATGTGGCCTCAAATTCCCAGAATGCAACTGTCCTTATATGGATATTCAAGCCATGGAAGAAAATCTTCTTCGAATAAGTGAGACCTGGAATGCCTACAACAATGATTTTGAGGAATCAGGTAGGACATATATTTTTTTTAATGGAGCTGTAGTTTATTAGGATGTCTGTGAATGGGAAAGATTTTCTTTACTAACAAACATTAAAGAATTATACTACAGTATGGGTAGAAATGATCATCACAGCTTGAATCTTTGTTATGTGCCTCTCTAGTTCAATTCTTCCTCAACCTGGCATTGCTTTCACAAAAACAAAGAAAAAAATCAAGAAGGAATTATTCTAATGTATTTGACTATCAGTTATAGCTAATCCTTTAGTACATGAAGAGTAATGCGTACCATTGCCATTTTGTATCATAAGTCTTTCCCTTTCTCCAATTCTGAAAGTGATACTTGGGTATTTACGTAGGGCCATTCAGTGTTGCTGTTTTTTTTTTTTTCTAATTTTTATTGTGAACCCAGAATGGTTAGGATTTACAGGATTTTAGGATTTAGAGCTGAAAGAGACTTTTGAGATCCTCTTGTCTAAAAATTTCACTTAATAAATGTAGAAACTGAGGCTCAGAGATGGAACAAGACTTGGACAAGGTCACACGGGAAGTATGCAACACATTCAAGATTTGAACCTGGCTTCTCTGACTCCAAAATAAGTGTTCCTTGCACAATATCATCCATCTCTTATTGAATAAGGGAAAATATTAAATCAGACAAATAAGTTCCTACTAATGGTACTTTTTCATGCCAGAAAGTATCTGGCCGTATTGGATTCATTATCAGGGGATTATCTTGAGGGAGAATTTGAGTAGTGTGTATGTGATTTTCTAATACATCTGGATTCTTTGATTCAGGATTTACATTTTTCATTTGCATCCCATTTTCCAGGACCAAATTGTTGGGTATATATTAACTAAGTTCAAACTAAGATGGGAGACTTCTCGCTATTCTTTCACTTTTGGTTTCCCTTGAGAATATCAGAATTTGGCTACTTTTATAAACCACTTATGGTGTCCCCTGGGGACATTAGAATTTGTCCATGTCTAAGGATCTAGAAAAGAGGTAAAAATAATACTTCAGCTTCTATGCAAATTCTTAAGCTAATAATATAGTGATAGAGGACAAGCTTTATTTTACAATAAATAAAATAAATGCAAAACAACAAAGGACTCATCCTCAAAGGCAATAAATAGTTACTCTTGTGAATCCTACAATCTCATCTATCTCATGGAGATTTTATATATTTGACAAAGGCAAACATGAAACAGGATTTGGTAACTTTTGACTATTGTGATAACTTGCTGCAAGGCTAATACACTGAAAACTCATGAAAACAGCATGCAGCACTGTTTTGAATAGTGTGCAACACTGATTTGATTAGGCGTGTTATATTTCACTTCTGCATTGTACTATATAACCATTCCTGGTACTTGCCTGCTGGTAAGATAGGCCAAGCTTAGAACAAAACTCTTATCATTGGCCATTCTTTTAATGCCATCTGCCATCACCAACTGTGAAATGTGTTAGAGAGGGAGGATACTACCACACTTAGTGTTCCCCAGACCTTTCAATCACAAGGTCACCTCCAGTCCTGCACATGTATACTCCAGTGTACTTGTTTGCCTAAGATCAATAAAGAGAAAAGACTAAAGGGAGCAAAGGGTGCCAGAGGCAAAAATTTGCATAGTCAGCAGTTGTCCTCAAAGCAAAATGGAGGCTGGGTGGGAGCCAGAGCAATCATATCTTCTTCATTGGACTGTCTGGAAATAGCTAGAATCAGTAATTACACACTTTAGAAGCAGACTGAAAGAGAGAGAAGGAAGAGTAAGTTAATTTTTTTGATCATTCACTAAAATATCAGCTATTCCTCTTTAGTAGCCAATTAGAGAGGGAGTGCTTCATTATATCATGGTGCAAGCCCATCAGTGATTAGTCATATATGGTCAAAAGCTGACCCCCAAACTCTACAAAGGGTCATTCAGAACCAGGAAGTGCTGAACATGCTCTGGTAAATGCCCTTTCTTCCTTGGGAATAGGGACAGCTAGATGGCACAATGGACAGAGCACCTGGCTTGGAGTCAGGAAGACCCGAGTTCAAATCCGGCCTCAAATACTTACTATCTACATGATCCTGGGCAAGTCACTTAACTCTATTTGCCTTATTTTCCCCTTCTGTAAAATGAGCTGGAGAAAGAAATGACAAACCACTCTATTATGTTTGGTAAAAAACATCCCAAACGGAGTTACAAAGAGTTGGACACAACTGAAACAACTAAACAATACCACCACCCTGGGAATAAGTATAGTCTCTATTTATATCTCCCTGTCTTCTCTTTGCCTTTCAGTTTTTCTCTCTATTCCTTATTCTATGCAATTCTCTTCATTCCCTATTCTATGTTTACTCTCTTTTTGAAGTACAACTTCAAGGGTGTGGTTCATGCATGCATTAGCCTTGTTTTAATCAATAACCTCAAAATGTCATGGTTCAGTTAATCATACCCAGGGTAAAAATAGTTGTTAGCACTCCATCACTGTGAACAAACTCTCACATTTGGAATATTTATACTTTGTAAGGAGTGATATTTCAGTTCCAGAACAAAAGCCTTATCCGTTACACCTGCTAATCTTTACTGGGCTTTTCCACCATCCAGGAGGCTATTGCATTATTCCAGGTATGAAAGGATAAAAGGTCTGTACCAAGGAAATGGCAGCATCAGAAGAGAGAAGGAAGATGTATCTGAAACATGTTGCTAAAAGGAAAATCAAGAGGACAACAGTTTAAAAAAGGGGGCTGAGAGAGAGCGAGCAGTTGAGGATACCTAGTTTGTGAACCTGAAAGACTAGTGGGATCACCACTGTCCAGGGTCAACTCCTCAGCTTTTTGGGTTCAAAAACTTGATTTAATTAGTTTTCATTCATTTTGTTTTCTTTATTTGTTACCAAAATCTTGTTTCCCTGAAACTTCATTCTGTGATATGTTGAATGTTCTGGATTATAGTTTATCTGACATTAATTGAATTTAGCCGAGATGCTTTCTGATGACAGGCACCCTAATCACCTAAGTGATGTATAGACAATGATCATTAATGAGTTAGGACAACTAATATTAGTATATTTAAAAATACTTATTAATTTCAGTAATGATTACTAACATAGTCCTTAGATTTTATTTATTTATTTTTTCTTTTCTTTCTTTTTTTTTGCTTTGTGAGGCAATTGGGGTTAAGTGAGTTGCCCAGGGTCCCACAGCTATTGAATATTATGTGTCTGAGGCCAGTTTTGAACTCAGGTCCTCCTGACTCCAGAGTCGGTGCTCTATCTAATGTACCTTCTAGCTTCCTGGTCCTTAGATTTTAGATCGACTTTTTGGGCCTCCCTCTACTGACTCTACCAACCATATGATTCTTTAAAATCAGACACAATTATTTAAAATCAGATAGACACATAGAAAGACCGATTCATTTAAATTCTTAGTGCCCCAGGAAATTTTCTAAGACTATAATTTGTATGATAGAGGGAGCACCCTATACCAATGAAATCACACTAAAATAATTATTTATTAAATATAGAATTATTCATTTTAAGTAATAATTTAACTAAGTAAAATTATTAATACCATTCCTGATTATTACCCTAACTAGAATCTGTACTAAAGCAAATCTGCCAGTAGAAACAGTAAATTTGAAGTAACATTGTCCTCAGAATCAATGCTCTAATAAATTGCTTCTCTAACAGTACCCCTCTCAGACTTCCATTAATAAGCTTGGCTAGACCAAGTCTTCCCTAAACCACATAATTATTTTATAGAGAATTTGGGAGTATGCTAATCCATATTATAGTAAAAGTCTAGAGTACTTAACTGATTTATATTTATTTTTATCTAGTTATTAATAACTATAACAATATAGTTAATATGTTAATATTAAATATTATATTAATAGAATACATTATATTGTGATATAATATATCATTATAATATAATATATTATAGCTAATATAATAATATTAATATAGTTATATTAATAATTTTTCATCCATGCATTCATTCTGTCATTCAGCAAGACTGTATTAAGTGTCAGGCACTGTGTCATAAATGTGTATTATATCCCAGTTATGAATATCTGAAGAAAATTTCCCCAACTTAGTGTTAATATAATATTTCCCAGTAAAGTGATAAATGTTGTAGTAGTGCTATTTTAGTTATGTATGTATTAGCTTCTATTTCAACACAATGGAATTTACAAAGAACCTCTGATAGCTTTGAGGACAAGTCTTATCTTTTATATTCCACAAGGATAAATAGGATAAAAGAACTATTGCTGTAGTTACTCGGGGCAATGACAAGAGGAGAAAAGGGCACATGGTACCTTGGGGCTGCTGTGTTTGCTGGTGAGACTCTAAATGAATTGTATGCAAGGAAATTGACGTTCTTTTTCATTTCTCCTGCTGATGGCAATGCAGTAGCAGCATTTGGAAATTTTACTCCTTAGATTCCCCCTGTAGGGATTCCAGAGTACAAATGATGCAATAGTCTGTGTGTGATATTTGCATACCTAGAGCTCAACTTCATTTATACTCAGAACAGTCCATGCTACAGGAGTTTAATAATTCTTATTCACTGAATTTTGTAGAGTTTTTGATTATCTTCATATTTTGTAATGGGATGTGAATATTAATTTGTATGAAATTAATATGTACACCAAAGAATTAATTACTTTTAAAAATATTCCTTTATTTGAGATAGTGGTGAGGGTTCATAACTTGCAAAGTAGGAAACTAGAAATACATTATTTATGTGAAGGTGTTGGTGAAATATTGCATCAGAATATTCCCTGGATAAAATGAAAGACCTTTTGTATCTATTATATCTATTATTGACTGTTGACATTACTATCGCCTCCTTTATTTAAACACAAAGACAACAATTGATCATGAATTTTGAATTTAGATCATACCAAATCATATTATGATTTATTTATTAGTTCTCATTTCCACTAAAGTTCAACATCAGTATCTTATTGTGGTGTTGAGATGACCTTTGACTTTCAAAGGGTTTATTTTTCTCCTA